CCGTTAAGTTTATCCATTTTGGCAGGATTTCCTTTTTTTTTTTTTTTTTTGATACCAGGAATTGAACCACTGAGCTACATCCCCAGCCCTTTATTTAATATTTTATTTAGAGACAGAGTCTCACCAAGTTGCTAAGTGCCTYGCTAAATTGCTGAGACTGGCTTTGAACTTGCAATACTCCTTCCTCAGCCTCCAGAGTCACTGGGATTACAGGCATGCGCCATGGTGCCTGGCTGGATTTCTTTCTTTTTTAAAGACCAAATAAAATTCCACTTTGTATGTATACCATGTTTTCTTTATCCATTCATCTGTCAGTGGACATTTAGGTTGTTTCCATATCTTGACTTGTGTAGTGAACATGCAAGATACCCTTCAAGAGTACCTCTTCAAAAATACGAATTGCATTTCCTTTGGATATATACCCAGTGATGGGGCTGCTGGATCATATAATGCTCTTATTTCTTTTTAATTTTATGAGGAACATTCATACTGTTTTCTATATTGGCTGTACCAATTTATAATCCCACTAACAGTGTGCTAGGGTTTCCTTTTCTCAGCACGCTTACCAATTCTAGTTATCATTTGGCTTTTTTGAGATTACCCCTTTTAACTGATGTGTGGTAATACCACTTTGTGATTTGGATTTTCATTTTTATGATGATTAGTGATGTTRAGGACCTTTCCATGTACCTGTTGGCCTTGTGTATCTTTGGAAAAATGTCTACTTAGGGTCTTTGCTCATTGTACAAATTGGGTTATTTGGGGGAAGGGGGTTGTTGTTTTGCTTTGTTTTTATGTTTTGCCATTAAATTATATAATATTCCTATTTGGGGATATTAATTGCCTATCAAAATATATGTTATAAATACCATCAGCCTTCTATATCTGCAGGTCTTCATCCATGCATTCAACCAACTATGGATCAAAAATATAAAAATGTTTATTGAACATGTAGATATTTTTATTATTCTGTAAAAAATTTGGTGTAATAAAACTTTTACATAGCATTTACATTATATTAAGTATTATAAGTAATATATACATGATTTAAAGTATATGGGAGGTGCTGGGGATGTAGTTCAATAAGCATGTTCCCCACATGTGTGAGGACCTGGGTTTATCCCCAGCACCTCACATACAGGAAGATTGTACATAGATTTCATGTAAGTATGACACCACTTTATATAAAAGACTTGAGCATATATTATGAATTTGGAGAACAGGGGAAGGGGTTGGAGATTATCCCCTGCTTATACATTCCGTATGTTACCATTCCATATGTTGTCTTTTCATTTTGTTTATTGCTTCCTTTGCTGTATGGAAAACTGTTAGTTTGATATAGGTCCATTTATTTATTTTTGCTTTTGTTGTCTGTGTTTTTGATATTTTACCAAAACATTGCYACGACCAATGTCAAGGGATTTTCCCCTATGTTTTCCAAGAGTAAGTTTTACTAAGAGGCAGAAAATGCTGGGAGTCAGAAGAACACTTAAGCTGTGCAAAAGGGCTTACGTGGTGTTTGTGCGTAAAGTAAGAGCTACCTGAAATATTTTGATGTAGAGTCTACAGTGTGGGTATGAAGATTCTGTAATGCTGAAACGGAGGGAAGTTTGACATTTCTCACAGGATTCAGAAATGTCATTTGATATAAAATACAATCCCATGCATAGTGAGCTGATAAGAAAGGAGTATTGCTCATGGTTATTAGCTTTTTCCATCCATAGCAAAATAAATGCAAGGGGAGGGAGTCCTATCTTCACTGTCCCCTGAGCATAGATGAATTTACTGTATAACAATCAATGGCTCTTGAGCTTCAGAGCCACTCACTTACATGGGCCCTGGCCACAAATTTACATGGTCATTATAATATGTGTAGATGTTTTAATCATAATTGATTAAGACAATTGATTAAAACCACTGCATTTTTCTTTTTTTAAGATAGAGAGAAGAGATAGAGAATTTTAAAAATATTTTTATTTTTCAGTTTTCGAKGGACACAACATCTTTATTTTTCATTTTTTTATGTGGTGCTGAGGATCAAACCCAGTGCCCCACGCATACCAGTCGATCGCGCCACRGCTTGAGCCAYATCCCCAGCCCTCACTGCATTTTTCTACTCCTTTGGTTTACATCAGGTGGTGCTAGAGTGACTATGGGCATCTTTGAGATAAATTTGGTTAGAGCAATGTATTCAATGTTGTTCACAATTGTGCATGGAGTTGAATTACTGGTATTATCCCAATGTAGCATTTACTTCCTAAAATATTCTACAGACTACTGTGCAAACTCATCTGGCATCATGACCGGACATCAGCAATATATATATAAGCAATATATATAAAAGCTTTAGACCCTACAGAACTTGGGTCCACCCTTGCCGCAGTCCAGCTGCAGCAAAATAGCCGGGGGGTGACGAATAACTTGTGTACGTTGATACAGCAGGAATGGGAGCCGTTTATTGTAGGGCAACAGAGCTATTTATACATTTTGCACAGCTTATCTTAATTAGCATAAACTAGATACATCAATCAACCAATAAGGAATCTCCACACTTAATGGCTCGCTTTTGTTACTTCTCAAACCACTCCCTCTGACATTTTGCCAGGCACCATCCAGACTTGTTTACGAACTCTAACATTTCTCTGGCAAAATACCAGGTGTTATTTTTKACTTATTTACGGACCTTAACACACCCTCTTTCTAGGCATAGTGCTCATGTCATCTAGAGTCTGTGAATTCCCAGGTGACATCCTAAGTAAGAGGATGGTAGCAGAGGATGCTTTGAACCTTTGAGCTCCCACCCTTAAATGGTACTTTCCTGGTCAACACCAGCGAAAGGGATTAATTCTGAGAAAATGTTTGGCCCAATCCTGTGCTAGTCTTTGAATTACAATATGGTTTAGAGCATTTTTATTTACAAGAAAAAAAATACATCCTGTTTTTTTCCCACTTGCTTGGTGTATATCCTCTTTGCTTTTGTAGTCATGTCTGTAGATTAGAAAGTGGGTATGAGTGGGATAATATGCCTTGTTCTATATAATTTCCTAATTTAACCTTTCCAATTCATTTGGTTCATTATAGACTAGTATATTTGTTGGTTTTTAACATATGTAAAAATRTAAAACTATTTATATATACTTATTGTAGAAAACAAAAGTTTTATAACTCAATCATTGCTAAATTTGTTTTAAAAATCTTTTTTGCATACTGTACTTCATGTATTGTGTTAAAATTATTAGAAACTAACTTTTGACTTAAGTGGGGCCAGTATTGCTGTGCAACTTGCTTTTTCTTCATCTAACAGTGTATCATGGATAGCTTTACATATAACTTTTTTTGGGGGGAGGTCTGGTAATACYGTTAATTTAGTTAATAGATTCCTCACATTTTTATATACCATAACAAATAATGCTATAATAAGTAAGTATCCTTATTCAAATTTCTTGGTATACTTTGAGAGCATTTCTTTCTATAATATAAATTTCTAGTCATGGAATTGTGGATAAAAGGGTGTGTGTGTGTATTCATATACATATGTATGTATATATACTCAAAATATTAACAGATGTTATTATTTTATTATGGATATTTTAAGAGCTTTATATCATCTCTTTATCCTAGAATGGCACTTGATTAYAAAATACACTTGTTGTTACTTCTAAATGCTTAATTACTGCTATGAATATTCCCCTGCAATGATAGAGCCAATRATGTTGCATAAGGCTAATGTCAGTAAGTCGAGATGTTTTATATAGTTAAAAATTAGAAAAATGGACACTGGTCAAAAATTTATATGAAAGGTAAATTTGTTCTCTATTTGAGAGAAGTTATGACTCCTTCTGTAAACTAAGGAAGGTGCCTAAATCTGAAGCATAAGTTCCCTTGCCAGCCCTACACACAATCTGTAATTAGACATTAGTCCTTGTTCTGAGCACAGATAACATACTGTGGATAACTTGTTTTATTTTTCACAAATTTGTTGCCTCATTCCAGACTCAGTATTTAATATTTATATCCAGAAAAATTAGATGTATTTTAATTTTATAAGAAATTAATTCATGTTTGAAGTATAGCTACATCAATTATGTGGCATATTTTTCCTGAAAGCTGTTGAATTCCCTTATTTTGGATTAGAACTTACTCATAATTCTGATACATACTGAAAACAATGAAAATATATTTTGAACATTCTAAACTTTCTATGAACATTAGGATTGTTAGACAAGGAAAATCTTTGTGTCAAAAGTTGTGATTGATGGACTTCGGTTATAGCTCAGTGGTATAGCATTTGCCTAGCATGTATAAGGTTCTGTTCTTATCACTGCATATAAATAAAATAAAGGTCCATTAACAACTACAAAAATACTTTTTAAGAAGTTGTGATTGAAAACCCACTAGATGTACCTGTTCCACAAATATTTCCTTCATAAATTAAGAACTATATTGAACTAGATATTAATGCTTTAAACTGGAGAGGTTTGCTGGGCATGGTGGTGCATGCCTATAATCCCAGCAGCTCGGGAGGCTGAGACAGGAGGATCATGGGTTCAAAGCCAGCCTTAGCAATGGCRAGACACTAAGCAACTCAGTGAGACCCTGTCTCTAAATAAAATAAAAAATGGGGCTGAGGATATGGCTCAGTGGTTAAGTGCCCCTGAGTTCAATCCCTAGTACCTACCCCCCTTCCCCCAGAAAAATAAAAAATTGGAGAAGTTTCTCTTAAAAAAATTGAAATATTTTGGCAATAATGGACTGAATTCATATAGGTAGTGAATTATAGCTGTATAGTGGCTATTATTTTCAGACAGGTTTTGCCATAGTTCAATTTGCCATATTCCTGCCATTCTTTGATGTATTACATCTGGCCTTACTTAATTCATCTGTGTACATTAAGAACATTGTTCTTTTTAAATTTGTAGGTAAATAAAAATATAGAAAAGGCATCTGTGTGAAGATTTTYCTTAATTTTTTCACTAATACATTGAAGACATGGAGACATAAAGCTTCTTTATTGTTTTTCCCTGGTACATTCATCTTCTTAAATGGTGGTAAGAGATACAGAGACATTAGAAGCAGTAAGAACCATAGAGATATTAACTTTCTTATTCACAATTATTTCTAACAGATTGCTCCATTAGCATGTGAAAAAGAAAAGGACCGGAAAGTTTTATACCTCCTGGAGTTCCACAATCTTACGCTTTAATTTCTTTATGTCTTTCTGTACTTTATATTTCTCTAGATCCATTTTTGTTTTCTGTATTTGTTGGAGGGAGTTGAGAGAGTCATGAATTGATTTAAATCCTGAAAAAGAAAAAGAGAATACATATATATCAAAGAATGCATTGGAACCTTTTTTTTTTTTTTGGTAGAAATTGGCAGATTAGAATTCCTGCCATAATTGATCATTGTTTAATTTAAAGTACATTAAATTCCATTAAAACCCTTTTAAAAACAAACAAAATCCATTTCATCTGAGGATATAATAGGTTCTGTGTTTGAGATTGAGGTCTCTGATAGCTTCATGACTGTGGCATGCTTGGTGACTAGGAAGTTTCTGTACAAAGACACAGAATGCCAGGCTGCTGGGAAAACTTCTGTGCAAAGACACAGGATGCCTGGCTGCTATAGCAATGTCCTTCATGAGGAAACTCTGTATTAGAGTCTTAGCAGCCTCCACCTTGATCTCAGGCACACAGGTCCTGGAAATAAAGAAACTCTCTTGTTAGACAACCACAAGAACCTGCCCACATAGCAGTAACTAACTTTATACAATGGACTTTCTTGAGAGCTACGCAAAGCTCCCAACATTGCACATTGCAATGTAGTATGCAACTGAAGAATAAGCTGCATAATGTTGCTAAGTCTGTAACCTGCCTAATGACACAGTGAACAATATGTACCAATGATGCTAATGACCTAAAGCAACCTATTGATATAAATAAAGCTTGGCAGCTTGGCCCTTCTGCCATTCTGCCATCTTTCTTTCCTGCCTCTGTATCTTGTCTCTGTGTCCCTTTTCACTAAGCCCARTAAAAGAAAAAGTAGGCCCAAATCTTCACCATGTTGGCTTAGGATCTGACTTCCTTAACAAGACTCCTAAAGGGCAAGAAGTAAAATCAAGAATCAATAAATGGGATAGATTCAAACTAAAAATCTTCCTCTCAGCAAAGGAAACAATAAYGTGAAGAGAGAACTTATAGAATGGGAGAAAATCTTTACCAACTACACCTCAGAGCATTAATCTCCAGCACTTGTGTGATTTGTGTGGTATGTGTGTGTGTGTGTTACTAGGGATGGAACCCAGGACCTTGTGCATGTGAGGCAAGCACTCTACCAACTGAGCTATAGCCCAAGCCTTGTGTGATTTTTTTTTCTTTTTTCTTTTTTAGAGAGAGAATTTTTTAGTATTTATTTTTTAGTTTTCAGCAGACACAACATCTTTGTTGGTATGTGGTGCTGAGGATCGAACCTGGGCCGCACACATGCCAGGCAAGCGCGCTACCGCTTGAGCCACATCCCCAGCCCAAGTCCTATGTGATTTTTAAAAAGAAAAATTCTTGTTACCAAGTCGAAGGTAAATACCACTGATGAGATTTGAGAATTTCTCTGAGAATAGCCGGTTTGAAAGGCATAAAAGAGTGGCTGCCCTCTTCCCTCCTAGCACTTTGTGTCCCTCTTATACATATCTAGTCATTCATGACTACAGACCTACCAGACCTCAAACTTCTTAAAGTGTAGCCCATTTCTTATTCACTGAGGCCTTTCACATAGTTGCTTCTCACATTTTCATTAAAGGCATAAAGGAGCAGACCATTAATTTGGAGTCCTCTTTTGCTAGAACTCCCACTTGGTAAAATGTAGAAACACATAGATTGTAAATTTCTCTTCAGCTAATCCTGATATTGTACCAATGGGATGAGTAAAATTCAATCTTTGAGAGTTAAGGCRAAAGCAAGGCCGTTTTTAAGTACCAGTTAGATTTGGGACATGATTCCTGGCTAGATAATTCATTATTTTGACTTGGTGGTAGAAAGTGGGGGTTGTGAGGGTTATATTTCCACGCAACAAATTCTACTTATATGCCAGAAACAGCTGCTAGAATGAAACAGTGATGTCTTCCCAAGGCGCCTCCACTGCATCTCTTCATGGGACCAAAATTTTGTGGAATTTAAATGTGAATTTTTCTGAGATCTAGAAGATAGAGAATGGGTTGGAGTTTCTCTATACARGAACCCCTCTGGTTCCTGGTAATTCCTTCAGAATTGTGAGTTGAGGCAGATGGCTGCTCCACAGCACCTATCCCATGTCTTTTCTTTTGAAAAATTAGATGAGCCTTTCAAATTAATCCTCTTTGATGTTAGCTCAGCTTGACACTGCTGCCATTAGCCTCTTAAGAGGAAAAGCAGTCATTATACTGGACTCTGCTAATTCATCTCTTCCTCACTTCTAAAGGTCAAGTTTCCAATCTGACATCTGTCTAGGCTCATTACTTGTAATCCGATGAGAGGGACATTTGATTTAGGCTCCTAATTTTATAATATACCCAACAAGTCAGGTCTTGGTGATCTCTAAGGACTTTCCATGTCTAGGATTTATGATTTAGATTATCTTAAGAGAATCTCAGGGCAGCAACAGGATTGTGACATTATCCRATGTGAATGAAGAAAGTTGACTCATTTATACATGTTTTGATGGTATGCTGGCATCCTATAGGATATTTAGGAAGCCAGATTAAATACATAACGATGTAACTAATGACAAGATTGTTCCATGGCCAGTGGTTTAAAGTAGAAACTTCTGAGCAATTGGACAGGAAAGGACAATAATTCTTTCCTGAATAAAAGGTATCTACTTACCTGATTGATATTCATTCTGCATTTTCTCTAGTTCACCCCAGACGTGCTTTTCCATTTGACTCATCTTTTTGGACAATTTATTTTCTACAAACTTTACTTTGTTCAGTTCTGCTTCCTGTTTCTGTGAGTTAATGAAATTTTCTAATTTGCTTGAAAGCTGCAACATTTTTTCTTCCATTTTGTTTTCAGACTTTTCCTAGAAAAGAGATCATGTGATAAAACTCAGCAGAGAAGAATACTAATGTGGATTTATATTTCATCTTAGAGAAAACRTTTTTATCATATTTGTTTTCCCATGTTAAGCCTGAAAATTCAAACCAAGATTCCTTATATCTAAAATTGTGTTCCAGGTGTAAGAGTTAATTCTTTTTGTTTGACCTTGTTTGTAGTTTCTGGATTCTACGTGTTATAGAATAAAATAAGAGGGCTCTCTCTGGTCTTGCTGAAATGCCTTAAKGATTTGGAATTTGAGTCTAGTGTTTTAAAGAAGTGTAGCAAATGAAGATGATTTAGTTATGGCTTTCCCTGAGCTCCTTGGCATGTTCCTAAATGCCAGAAGTTCTTATTCCCTAGAACTTCATATCCACATCAACACACTTCAGCAAGAATAGTGACTTTCCATTCCAACTGTTTCTTACAATCTTCTGGATTATACCCCACCTCTAGAAATTTTGATTTAATTGGTTTATGATGGAGCTCAGGAGTTAATACCACTTAGAAACTCTTCAAGTGATTCTATTATGCAGCAGAGTGTGGAATGCAGAAGCAGCCTTAGGCTAATTAGCTTCTCATCTCACTTCCCCACAGAGAATTTGGGAGCAGGAACTGGACAGACTGTCGTGGCCCCTTTGGCCCTCTTCTTTTTGCCCCTGYCTTGCCTCAGGAAGGGTGGATTCATCTCTCTCTTCTTGTAAGAGACTTCTGTCTGCAGGGGAACCCACAAGGTCACTTAGTGCTGCCTGTAACTGGCAGAGGAATTTACCTAWCTTGAGGGTAAGAATCTAGGAGGCCCACTTGGCAACTACTGATGTGACTGCACATACTTTGATACCCCTTCTCAGTGATAATGTTGTTATGAATATCTCCTCCTCTTGGACTCCTATCTTATTCAGTTATTTGCAAACTCTGGTRGGGGTGAGAGACATTATTTACTGAGCTGCCCAAAGCTCCTTTACTGAAGTTATCTTTTTTGAATCACCTTCATGGCTGGCAGCCACTGACAGCATTGATGTCCCTTTTCAGCCTTCCCGATGTGCTGGTTGCAATGGGAAAAGGCAACCCTAAAGGAAATATATTTTTCATAAACCTTGGTAACCTCACCTCAAAGTTTGGGGCTTTCTTGACACAATCTAAAAAGAGTTTTGAAAAGTTTTGTTCTACTGACAGATCTCCAGAGATTTTAAATGACTTTGTGAGCAGAAGTTTCCAAGATTTCTTGTGCCTAAGTGCCATCYAATATGATTGTCTAAGATCACGTTTTCCAGTGACGGCCCCAGAGAGTTAACTCCCTAGGTCTGGAGTGACAATCTGTATTTTTTAAAAAATCACTTCACTTCAGGTAACTTTGAACAGAGAAATGCAGATTCACAGAGTTAGGGTATAGTAAACAGGACCAGAATAAGGCTTTTGAACCTACAGTGCTAAAATTATAAAGAAGTTACTGATGCTGTAAATGTTGAAGGGTGAACTTCCAGACCTTTACTCATGGCTAACATCCAGACATTTACCATGCAGCGCTACTTCATGAAATAAGAGCTCCTTACCAGTTTCTCCTGCAGGACCATCAGACATTCATTTGTATGGCTCAGGTGGTCTTTTCTGTGTTTGATAAACTCACTTTGTGCCCATTTTTGATTATTCTCAAGTTCTTCGTACAGATTATTTGAAAGTGAATTGAATCTAAGAAAAAATGTTTGATTCTGTTTTAATGAGTGGATTGAAATATAAAACRAAATTTTAGTGTTGAAAAGTCTGCTGTAAGGTGAGGCTCAGTGTATCTAGCCAATATTTATGTTGTGATATGGGAGGTGGGGAAGCAAGGTAAGTGCACTTTGGGGCCACCTGGGCCTAAATTTAGTCCAGCTGCTGGCTGTGCCCCTCTGCATACCCTGAAATGTACACACAGTGACAGGTTCACTGCTGGCTTGAAAAAAAACCTCACCACACCTAAGTGCATATTATCCATGCAAAATTTCCCTCAGGGCCTGGGGCTCATTATGTGTGTTGGAAACACTGATAAATCACTTGGGGTGGGTGTCTCTATGGTAGGGGTAGACAAACTTTTTCTGTTAAAGGGTGGTTTGTAAATATTTTAGGCTTTGTGGGCTTTGTGGTCTTATGTTGCAGCCACTCAATGCTGCCATTGCAGCAAAAGAGCAGCCTTAGATAACACAGAAACAAATGAGCATGGCTACGTTTTGTTCACATTTTATTTACACACACTGAAACTTAGATTTTATATAATACCTTCATGAAATGGAATATAATTCTTTTCTTTTTTAATATATACAATTTATTTAATAAATTAATGTCATTCAAACTACAGTGCCAGAACATTATGCAGTTGAACATGCTAGTAATGTTTGTCATGAAGCACCTGTGCTCATGTTAGATTGGCGGCACCCCACTACTGCTAGTGGTTCCTGGGATTAATGCCAGAGCAGCACTAGTTATCTGCTCTTCTGCACAGCTTGTGCAGAAAATTCCTGAACAGTTCACCTTCCTAATCCTACCCCCCCACACACAACACACACACACATCAGGTTAAAAAAAAACACACCCTGACAGCTAACAGATACCTATACACAATCACTCTACAGTAATGCTTATTATTAAATTAAGATGTAATGAACTGGTTAACCCACTCTAAAACTTTAAGATGGAGAACTACATCAGCAGCAGGTAATTATATGCATGAGCCAATGTTAATGTAATATAGAAATGGAGACATTTAGTGATTAAAGCTCCACACAGACCCACACAATGAGGGGATAGCAATTCATATTGCAAGCCCAGCAACTGAAGTCCACACCTGGCAAATGACCAGCTGAATGGACAACCTGTATTCTAGATAGACAAGTATAAGTTAGTGGAAAGAGTGTAATTCTTAAAGAAATTATTCAGAAGTGCAAAATTCATTCTTAGCTGTAGGTAGATTTGACTAAGAGTGGTAGCTTGCTGATTCGTGCTCTAAAAAGTGCCACTCTAAAGTTGGGGAGGGGATGGTGCAGAAAGAACCTGCATTGTCTTGGGGAGGAGAGGAAAGTCAGAGGAGGAGGGGGAGGACCTTGGAAAGCAGTGTTCAAGCTGGACTTTAGGTTGTCTCCATCTCAGGTGAAATCTTTAGTGCAGTCCCCATTGCCAGCAGTGGATATATGTGAGTGGATTTCGTGTGTGTGTGTGTGTGTGTGTGAGTGTTGTGTTTGCTTAAATGGGAACTGATTTACTCATGTGAAACAAAAAATAGAAGTAACAGACTTTCAGAAAGGGACTGCTGGCATCAGGATGCCATACCATAGGAGTATTAAATAACAGAGAATGAAGGATTTTAAAAAATTATTATAGAGATTAAAAGTTTTGAAAACATGTACCATCAGTCTAAAACATCCCTGTAGAGTGACTGAGGGTTTAGGCAGAAAGAGGACTCCATATCTGAAATGACTTGAGAGATACAGGTCTCTCAAGAGATGAGGGATGAGTACTTGTAATTCATATGTGTGTTTTCTATATGTGATTTGCTCATGGTAAGATGTCAATTTCAATTCCTTTCAGAAGAGGCAAAATGATTTGATTGGTAGAAACAATGCATGTTGTTCATTATTGAAAATATCAGAATACTTTACAAGGTGTGGTACTTACAATAACAGTAATAAACACTCTGATGTGTTCAGGCAAATATATACAGACAATTTAGTATGTGATAATTATCACTGGAAATTGCTTAAGACATGCTGGACACACACTGTATGCACATGCCTCTCTTGCTCTCCTAAAAAAGTGTTTGGACTCATAATTAGAAAAGTGCCATCAAATTATTTTCCCTTTTAATTTAGACCAGTGACTCTGAACTGGAGGCAATTTTGCCTCTTCTCAGGACACTTTGTGATGTCTGGAGACCATTTTGATTTTCATCACTGGGAGGTGATATTGGCACCCAGTGCTTAGAAACCAGGGATGCTGCTAAACATCTGTAATGCATACAGTCCCGCAACAAAGAATTATCCAACTAAAATATAAATTGTAATGAAAAACCTTGACTTAGTTGAGGAAACCCTGACTTAGATGATGAAACCAAGGAATGGGAAAAGTGAGTTAATTTTCCAATAGCTAAATTAGTTATAAGAGCTAAATTCTCATCTTTACTCCTTCTGAATTCTAACATTATTTTTGACCCAAAGAGATATAGAAGGCATATTTTGTTTCAGGTGGGTATCCCAACTTTGAAGATGACATTCATTTCTCTTTTTGTGCTTAATCTAATGATTCCCATTCACCTCTGCTACTGGCCAACAGCTGTTGAATCTCAGACAAATAAGCTCACCAACTGTTAAGTGGACAACTTCACGTGAGCCATCTGTTTCCTCCTATGGAACACTCTTCTTCAGAATTTCCACTGGCGCCTGCCACCTTATCACAGAAGTTATTTTAACCACCCTTAAAAAGGACCCCTTATCATCTGACATCCCCTTTTCCCTTACCCTACTTTTATTTTTATTTAAAATGTCCATTGCCCTCTGATACATACTAATTGGTATGCTATCTCCTCCACTAGAATTGAAGCTCTATGAAAACAGAATTTTGTTTGGTTCATTGCTACAAATAATGCCTGGAATATTGTAAGTGATCAATAAATAGTTGTTGACTAAATGAACAAATGGGTAATTTTTTCAATAAATAATATTAATTAGGGCTGCTAACACATAACATGTAAACCTATTAATCTATTTAGAAATCCAATCTGCTTTGATATTTGCCTTATTTTTCCTGTGTCTGGTGGAAGTATTAATTAATACTTATGATGAAGGGAGACAGTAAGTCCCCAGATAATCAAGAGTTAACCTTTAAATTAAGAATTCAGGCTTCAGTGCCCACCTTTCCTGTGTAATAAATGAGAAAATTTAGTCTCTTATTATTTATATAGTTATAACCAAGGAATCAAGGAACCACTAAATGTTCTCAAGTAATATCTCCAGAAGGGCGTATCAGTAATTGGAATTATGAAATTAAAATCATAAAACTGAGTTACTACTTATGATCTTTTTATTTCAAGGTTTGCTTGCAATTAGAGATTCATGTTTCTGTTAACAATCAGAAGTCATATTCTCTCTGTTGGTAATTTATTAAAATACAAAAGCATTTTAAAAACATTCTCCTTGTAAGATAAAAAGACAAAGGTTTTTTATAAATGGTTTTCTTTTTTTGTCATATATAAATGGTTTTCTTTGCTTAGACTTTTCCCTAACATAATGAACATGATTTTCCCTAATTCTATTGATTATAGAACTTACAGATATCATTGGAAATTGCTTAAGACATGCTGGACACACACTGTATGCACATGCCTCTCTTGCTCTCTTGCAAAAGAATGAGTTTATCTTGGATGACATTCATAATTTAGTTCCCAAATCTTCTATTCTATTAATTTTAGGAATATTTTTATTGGACATAGATAGACAGGTAGGTAGCAAAGACAAGTGTCATCAAAAATTCCCACTTTATTTAGACCATTTCTCGATTGGGGGTAATTTTGCACCACTGAGGGAACATTTGACAATGTATGGTGCAATTTTGGCTGTTTTCAAATGGAGGATGACTTTGTCTTTTATTTTTCCCAAAACAGAAAAATAGGACTTGTGAGTTATGAATTTATGGCCAGAGACCCCACTAAGATGATTTGTAGGCTATCGACAGACTTTTAAAAATTTTTCTTATTGACAAAATCAGGCTAAAATTTACACCAAGGGCAATTATAAGGAAGGGGGTTACAAATGGTAAAGAAAAATTTAATTGGAAATTGTAGACACAGTAGAGGCCACAGCAGGGGTCTAACCATGAAGGCAGAATAAATACCAGTCTTTTGACTGGCATACATAAATAGACATAGCTCCAGTCTATATTAGTTTTACCAGTTCACTTTATGTACCCAAACCAGTGTCCTGTACTCAACAATCTGTTGAATTAACATTTTTAGAAGATGTGAAGATTTTAAATTCTTGAAAATTGTTTTTGCTAGCAGGCTCTTAAGAATTCAGATAGTGGGGCTGGAGTTGTGGCTCAGTGGTTGAGCGCTCAACTAGCACATGTGAGGCCCTGGGTTTGATCCTCAGCACTACATAAAAATAAATAAATAAAATAAAGGTATTGTGACCAACTGCAACTATCTGATGTAAAAGTATGGATTAAAAAAATGGTCTTTGTTGAACTGTTAAACACAGAAGATATTTTCATTTTGGGTAACTATATTTGAAAAAGATCATGTACTATATTTCTCTGGAGATTGAGTCTAAGGTTTTCAATTCATGTGAGAATCAAGAAGTTAATCCTAAGAAATGTTGTTTTTCTACTGAGTTCACCTATATAGTAGAACTCAAACTAATTCCTTCTAAATGTTTTGTGATTTCTAATTAGTGACACTAATTAAAAAGCAATTCCAACTCTACTTTATAGGAAGACTTTTTTCTTGGTCACTCCAAATTGTACTTGAACTTAAATTCCAATACCTTCATAGCCTGTTTCCTGGTTGCCCAAGCAAATGTAATCTGCACAGTTCATTTATTAACAGGTGGGAATTGTGAGATAGAGGCATATGACTTGATAAAAACAACTTGAGCTTTGGAATTAGACTTTTTCTAGCAGTGTGACTTGGACAGACTACTTAATCTCAATGATTGTAAATGTTA